TGAAGACTGGAGTAATGATGCTGAAGATTCAGCTTTGCATCACAGAAATACATGACATTTTAAAATATATTAACATATATCATTATTAATATTAACAGAAATATATTTTAAATTGTAGTAATATTCCACAATAATACTGATCTGATGGAATTTTTTGATCAAATAAATTCAGCCTCGGTAAGCAAAAGAGACTTTTGTAGTGGTCGACCGATATGTTTTTTTTTTTTTTTTCACAGCCGATGCCGATATCTTAGAAATCAGGGTATCCAATGGCCGATATATATATATATATATATATGTAAATTTTTATTCATAATTTATAATCTTTAATAATAATTCATAATTACATTTTATTTATTTTAATTAATATTTAAGAAATTAAAAATAATTAGAAAATGACGGTAAATTTACACGGGGCGTCGGCGTCATCGCCTCTCGTTTACTTTGAATGAAGTAACATGAAGCGTTGTCGAACTGAATTGTGGGTCCATCACATCGCATCATTGGCGTTGCTCACGGCAGAAGTTGACAACTTTTCAAGCGCCAACGCAGGCGTCAGCTAATCAGATCGCCTTATGCAAATACCCTAGCGCAGATGCTAGCTGCTATGACGGTCGTGTCAGCACCAAGCTTCAGACACGCCCTCCATCAAGCGTCGATGCCGAAGCCCCATGTGAATGTACCATGAGTTAAAAAAAATAAATGTCTAAAATAAACATACTTTAGATGACAACTTCATGATGCTGTAATCCTATTTTCACAAATAAAAAATATTTAAAATACATAAAAAAGGAAGTAAACACTGTAACAAACAGGGCACTCAATAATCGGGGAAGTTTGTGTGCACTGGGATTCATAAAATAAAATAAAAACCAAAATAAAAGTCTCGAACATATCGGCCGATGCCAATATTTGAAAATGGCAAATATTAGCCAACATATCGGCCTTGGTTGACCACTACATTTTTTATCTTACAATAAATAAATAAAACAATAAATAAATAAAACCTTATAATAATTAACAAAGAATTGTAATAATATACATTTGTAGAGTAATAAATATATATATTTTTTTATGTATAATTGCATTTGGTTGTTCAAAGTTCAAATTATTAAACAAAACCGCTCCTAGCAAACAAAACCCAGAACAAAAATCCACGCCTACCAAAACAATAACGGCACAGAACACAAAACAAGACTAATAATTTTCACAGGGCAAAACAGATGGTCTCTTCCTGTCTACTCTGGTGGTTCTTGGCCAGAACATGAAGCCAATAGTTTGTTTCCGTGAAACGAAGACAGACAAAGTCTTCAAGGACACGGATGGAGAACACTGTGTCACTGAAGGAGACACGATCCGTGATTTACGACAGCTGTGACGAGACACAATAATCATGTCCACCTCAACACGAGCTGCCAACATTACCTCTCTCACTCGCTCCTGTCATGAGTCTGGACTTGAGCCGACGATACAAGGACACAGATGATGATCTGAGACTGTCCTGAATTCCTTAACTCAGCAACACTTGACATCTAAGTTTTTACCTGTCACTCATGGGGGTTGAACCGTCCAGTCGGTTGTATCTGTGCTTATGGTGTCTCAGGAACCCCTCCAAAATGTCAAGCATCATTGTGAACTGGCTAAAGAGCACCACTCGATCACCCTGCGCGGAAAAAAAGAGAGATTAACCATGCTGATGAAAATGAGAGGAAAAGATGACCAAATTCGTTGTATGTAAAAGAGCAGCATAACATTCTGCTAAATGTCTGCTTTTGTGTTCTACAGAAGAAAGTAAGTCATATGGGTTTGGAATGACTGTCGTCTACTGTGTGCTGTAACCAAGTATATACTATGTCTATAGCTGACAGTATGCAATATGGTGTAATTTGGGACACAGTGTATTTCTCTGCACAGTTAAATAACTTTCATTATACTCTAAGGGGTTTTTGAAAATGTAATTTGGTCTGTTGAACATTACAGGAATCTGTTTTCCCCAACCTTCTCCTTCAGGGAGTTCAGCAGCTGTGCGAGGAGGCCGAGCTTCCCCGAGTCCAGCAGTATGTCTGTATCAAGCTGGTATTCCTGCAGTGCAGAATACTGCTGACAGAGGCGGTGCAACTCAAAGTCCGAGAGCACCTCCATGTCCTCTTTGATGAGAGCGGGATCTGCGTCACGGTGACTCGGCTCCTGGAATTAACGGTAACATGCACAGACTCAGATAAGTTACACATATAACAGAACAAGTAAAAAACTACACTCGCAATAAATATCTGCCCTAATTATACTCATTCCCTGCTGCAGTTCTATATGAAGCACTAAGTCAAGATTGACCAATACTGTTGTTTTATGACTTAATAAGATTACCTATAACCAGATATTAATATAGATTATGTTTATTAAGTGTACTGTATGACCGAAATGCCAAACCGATTTTTAATTTTTGTTTTGTTTCATATTTTTGACGCAATAAATAAATCAACATTATACTACAGCAACAGAAAAAAAATTACATCTTTATGAATGTTATTATTATTGTATTTATTTATTTATTACAGCTGTTCGTGGACTAACACTACTCTAAAATTGATTACATAAGTATTTTCCACAGCAACCTAATAATAATAATTCTTATTATTATTTATAAAGAAAAAGAATGATAATAGTATTGTAATCATAACTATAATTATTATTATTTTCCATATAGCTGTTCAGAGACCATTGTGACCAATAATGATGATGATGATAATAATAACTTTAAAAAAAATAATTATATATTCATAAAAATATATTTTATTGCTTAACATTTTTTGGCATTGTATAATATTCATACATTTATTATTATTATTATTCATACAGCTGTTTGTGGACCAACACTGCTCTGAAATTGATTGTTTATTTTCCACAGTGGACTAATAATAATAATAATGTTTTTATACATTTATATAAATATTATTTATTATTATTATTATTTTATTATTATGTTCACTGACTGTTTTATTGCAGTATAATATTCATAAAGATTCATAAATAAAATTAACCAAATATTATTATTATTATTATGTATTTTCTGTACAGCTGTTCTGAACAGTTGTTCAACAGTGTTCTGAAATGTATTAAATGAGTATTTTTCACAGCACCCCATTTTTACGTTATAACCTATTTTAGATAAACCTTCCCTAAACAATTAAAAGGAACTTTTTCACACCGATCAGACTTTCTCTTCATTTATAAATGGATAGCTCTGGATAAGAAATGGATAAGACAAAAACAGTATCCGACTTAATGCTGATAGTCAAAAGTCTGGTTACATGAGCTCTGCTGACCTACTTAAAATCAGTGCAGAAAATGTAAGAAGCCCACCGATTCCATCAGGGCCTGCTAAGATCTAAACTTCCTGCGGCATTAATAAAAATGTACCACTTCATATAAAAATATCTCAGACCTTGAGCATGAGTCTGCTCATAGCTTTGAGTTTTTCTGTGGTATAATACTGCCGGTGAAGAAGCGGGTGGTTGGACATCTTCCTCAGCTGCATCATCACATTTGTCAGCTCGCGTTCTGCAGAAAGACGTGGTTAATAAACTATGATTAACATATACTGAAGCCAGTACCATTTATAACAACACCTCCTTCAAATACATACTTTCCCCATTACTGGAGCGCTTCAGTTTGTGGAAAAGAGCGTTGTAGAGTTCCTGCTGCTTCTCGGACATGGCACAAAATTCAACCTGCTCCTCTTTGGCAGGCAGCTGCTTCAGGACCTGCTGGGCACATCATCATCTGTCAGTGAACTGCTCGAGTGCCCTAGAGCCACAGAGGGTCAACATGACAAGCAAAGTGCCTCATCTG